TTTCAAAACGTGTTCTGATCTTTACAGGCATGTGCAAGGCATGCAGAAAATTGCAAAAGTTTTTTTTGAGTGGGAGGAATAGTTGTGGCATTAGGTGATTATTACTTTTTAAAAATTTGTGTATGTCTTTTCTAACTCCAGCAAATGTTTAGATCTCATAGTGTCTATCTGGAAACCAGAAAATCTTCTTTTCCCTTGTAGAACGAGTTGCTCAGATGCCTTCTAAAACCATTTATGTCTTGGAAGTCATATACTTTTCTTCTTTTCTCATTAGACTGAAATTCAATCTTGAGAGTTCATACAATTTCATCTGCATTTTAGGTTGAGCTTGTTTTCTTAAGGAAACAGGTTTTGCATAAATGCACTGTCCGTATTTTGGATGATGTCCGGCATCATCCTCTCACCTTAATAACTTCTGAACAACGTAGACAGTTTCAAGCAAAGCTGCTAGAAGCAGACATCTCAAAGACATATCTCAAAGTTCTTACTGGTTATGCAAAAATCAGTGTCTGGGTAGAAGGAGATGCAAAGTTTTACCCAATTAAGGAAAAGGCAGGAGCGGGCACTAGGCCTCTCCCGAGCGCGGTGTGCCGGCAGCGTGCGCGCCTTGGCCGCTCCTTGGGACATGCACGGCTCCAGCCTGTTGTGATTATCCTGAGGGGTTTCCTGGGCATAGGGAGGGGAGGTGGGAGGGAAGGGGGAGAAGGAAGGAGGGAGCTGGGGTACAGGAGGAAGCTGGGAGTTTACAGAGAGTTGAGTAGGGGGAGCTGGAAGCACCCTGGGGAGCGAGGTTTGCAACAAGGGACAGACGCCTGCAAGGCAGCAGGCCTCCTGCTTTCTGCTTCTCATTGGGAAACCTGGTTTTTAACAGTGTGCTGTGAGTAGGGGGAGTCATGCTCTGTTATTTCCCACTAATTGCATCAATGAATTACCCAAAATTCTGTACCTGAGCAAAATAATTCTGGAAGCTTTAGTTGATTCTTGCCTTAAGAGATAGAAGAAACATTATTTTGCCTTTTTTTTTCTGTTTAAGCATCTTATTTTTATGAAAGATAATTTTAATAAGTAAAACTAACTCATTATTACACATAAGCAATTCTCAAACCTGAATTACTTATTATTGTTACTATCAGAGCAACTGTAAAATACTGAGAGAAGTTGTGAATTTATGAAATATTAAAAGACAGGAAATGGATCCCTGTGTGGATCCTTTGCATGTGTTAACATGCAAAGTTATGGGGTGTTACTTCTACATTCACCTCATTTTGCTTATTTTAAATGTAAAATTCTAAGCATATATCTAGCTTTTTCATATACTCTAGTCTATGGGCTGTCTTGTGGCATTGATCTTAGACAAACTACCTGTTGTTCTAAAAAAAAAGCCAATGGTGTGACATGGCTTGTTAAGGGATGTGTTTTTGAAATTAAGCTGGTCAGGCAGCAGCTCCCCAGACCATTGCCCCTGTAGAAGTGGAGCCTCTCTTTGCTGTGCTCAGGTGTTGGGCACTGAAGTCCTTTGAGTTCCCAGCTCCTCGATGCACCCTTTCCCTCTCTCACTGCTTTCCTAGAATAAAACCTGTGGGATGCAAGCCACAGCATGTTCTAGTCCAGATAATTAGCAGTAGAAAAGTAGTTTTTCTGTTCAAACTTTCCATTATCCTCCTGAAATGCGGTACTGGGCAATAGGCTGGACAGCTGTAGAGGACAAAGGCAAAGAAATAAAAGGTCAGAGTTAGGTACCATCCTTCCAGTATGAGGGGAGTAACAGACTGCTGGGAATGTGATCTGATGTCTGTTCATTGTTCCTATCCATTGCAGGATAGGAGATAAGGAGACAACTCATTGACAGTGATTTTTTTGCATGAATTCCCATGGGAAGTGCACAGCCACTTATGATGTGCTTGTTGATAACCTTCACTTCATGGGTGACAGGAGTTTCTAGGGACCCAGTTTCAAACCAACCTGTCTGTGCCCTTGGTTTCAGGACTCTGACTCATATCTGGGAACGGGTTAAAAGTTGTAAGAAGCAATTATTTTTCCCTACCTGAGTTTGTGCTGTCCTGTGCCAGAGGGACTGAATGTCTGTGGAACAGCTCCTAAACTGCTGTGGTTTTAAGATGAAGCAAGCCTTGCTCCAGAAGCTTGATATTGATGCACCTGAAAGTTAAAGTACCTCTTTTTGTCTCTGCATTTGTGATGATGTGACCTTCTAGAATAGTAGTTTTTTACAAAGTGGACTCATTGGTGGTGACCCAGCCAATACATTGAATACCCCTGCATGTTTTATATAGTTGCCTGTTCTGGTTTTTGGTTGATATGTGCTGTCATGTGAATTGAACTTTGTATTTGACTTTTTAATAAACAAAAAATTTCAGGGTCAATGTAATTTCATTTGACTGAAATGATATTACAGGTCTGAATTTTTGTTTGTGCAGTGATTAGTAGCTGGGAAATGGAGCATATGGGAAAAAAGGAATGAAAAATTCCTCTAGATGTATTCCTACTGCCATTGTAGGTTCAAAAAGTAAAAAAGCCAGTCTCAGAATTTATTTAATTTTGGTAGTGAGGGCGGATTAATTTACTCACTATTTTCAGTGCTCATTCCACTGCAGTTTATTTTGGGTCATTTAATTTCAACAAGGCTTGATCTGTTCAGAGGACTTTCTATAGCAGCGTGGTGGGACCACACAGCTCTTTTATAGTACGTATGTTCATTGCTAACCAGGAACTCAAAGAACTGGTAAACGATGCACAGACATGAATAACTTCAGAGAGGACAGTACATTTCTGTATGGTTGGATTATTTTGAAAGTTTTCAGAAATAACCAATCTTTTGTGCACTGTGGGTTGCTTTGCAGAGCTGGAAGTGATGGTATACAGTAGCTGTGTGCTTTCAGAGGTCAGACTGGAGGTTTGGCTGAAGGCACTCTTCAGGTTTAAGGTGCTTCAGAAGCCACTGTGCATGAGAGTTGCTCTTAGTCCTTGTTTAAGGAAAAGTTTTTATTCCACAGGTTGATATTTCCATCAGATTCAGTAGTTTGATATGATTTTGGTTTTTTAAATTTTTAGATTTGCTCTAGGAGCCATTGATATACAAAATAGGCTAAGGTAAAAGAGATATCAGTTAAAAATGTCTAAATCAGTTGGCCTCATCAGCCAACAAAAAACCATATGCTCATTGTATGTGCTGGATCTGCTCCAGTTTAGCATTGTGATGGTAAAGGCCACATTTCCCCCAAATGAAGGAGCCAGCTTTCTTTCTTGTCCATCAAATCACAGCTATTACTGGTTCTGCTCATGCCAGCTGACAGAGTAATGTTCCTTTTGTGTAATTCATTAAATCAGGCAGCATTAGTGATTCTCTCAACAGAAGGAAGGCCTAATGTCCTGAAAGAGGTTGCAACTGTACTAGGAGATTAAAACAGCACTGAGACCATTGTTCCTGAGTGTTGAGACCGTTGTTTGTTCTTAAATTTTTAGCTTTCTTGCATTTTCCAGCTTCTGCTATTTAGCATACTCCCAGCAGCAGCCAGGGGCAGCTGAGGAAAGGGCTGTTCTCAATAGTTTCATAGTGTGGAAAGGGCTGTTCTCAATAGTTTCATAGTGTGGAAATAGCTGTTTGCTTTCCCATCAGCCTCGACACAGGAGAAGCTTTCTGACCATGTTTAACTCACCCCTTAACAGTTAGTTATGACGTCCTTGTAGCAAATTAGAGGCAGAATCCACTCTGTTTTGGTGTCTAAGTCAAAAGTATAACAGTGACACTGGTTTGGGGACATTTGAAGCCCATTGAAAGTTTTGTAGCAGCGTGTGTGTGTGCATACACAGAGTCAGCGTATGTCTGTACTGTGTGATATTCCTGCATAGGGATCTGGATGCTTTATTGACCATAGAAGGATATTCCTGCTTGTCTACAAATAGTAAAGCCCTAATCCCAGTGAATGGGAAGTTTAAAAAACACTTCTTAAAAACACCTCAATTTAGAAACAACTTACACAGGTTGAGTGTATCCAATGCGCTTTGACTAATGCTTTAGGCCCTCTAGTCACAGCTCTTAAAACTCTGTGGTGGTTTGTGAGCCATGTCATCAAGGAGCCTCTGATCTCAGCAGGTCCTGCCCTGCAGCTGCACAACCTCCTGGTGCACCCTACAATTTCCCTTTCTGGGGGGAAATATATCAGTGCATCCTATGCTGCTCTACCTCTGTTTGTGGTCAGCTTGTACGCCCATCTCCTCTAACCCAAACCCCCTCAAGATGACAGCCCACCTATATTTTTAGTCTCTTATTTTCTTGTAACTGTCTAAAAACTCCTCCTTTCATGTTGATTGGAGCTGTCCTTTTGCTGTGTACTTTCAGATTTAGGACCATGCACTGCTTCTAAATTTAGGCTGTAAAAGTACCACATTTACTTCTTTTATACTTGAATGGAAATTGTTCAAAGTTGTGCTGATGTAATAAAAACAGGAGGCTAGAAGGCAGTGAACTGGAATAAGGGTGAATGTATGAGAGAACACAAGCAGTGAGTGGCAATTTTAGATCCTCCCTGCCATGATCACACAATTATTTTTAATAAGGCTGCATTTCTCTTAAAGAAGGTTTCAATTTGTTATTCATCATGTGATGTCATTTAATAAAAAACTTTTATGTTACAGTAACACCAGATACTCTAGCCAGGATGTCATGAGAGGCAGTTCAGGCAGTCTGGGCCGTTTTGAGATCATTAATTGTATGGTAGTGATCTGTACTTAACAATGAAAATGCTGATTCACAGCCTTTCTCCTTTTTTTTTCTTCCATGGCTAACAGCCTTAATGATCAATCAGAGGTGGTGGGCTGAGGCAGAGCTCAAGGCCATCAGCTCCTTTCAGCCCTCTACATAGTGCCCAGGAAACACCCTGTGTTTCATTAGTTCTTGCTTAGTTTATGTTGTAATATTTTGCCCGAAGGCATTGAACTATCATCAAAAGCAGCTGACTGATTACTGTGACTTCTTTTTCCAGGGTCGTTGTACAAGGGAGAACTGCAAGTACCTTCACCCACCAACACATTTAAAAACTCAACTGGAAATCAATGGCAGGAACAACTTAATCCAGCAAAAAACTGCAGCAGCAATGCTCGCCCAGCAAATGCAGTTCATGTTTCCAGGGACACCACTACAGCCAGTGGTAAGTATATTTCTCTGGTGGTCTTGATGGTAAGTAAAGTTGAAGACCCTGTTGACCTGCAAAAGTTCTCTGAATTGTATCAATAAAAATAGTCCCTGTCTGTTTATTTAAGAAATGGCCAAGATGCTGAAGGTATGCTCATTTATATTTGCATTTCAAGATGCAATGGAGTGTTGCTGTAGACTTGTTTTATTTTTCTTTAATTCCATAATGATTTGCATTTTTTTCCCCTTTTTTTTTGCCCCTTAATGCCTTTCATGTCATGTTTGCAAGATTTTTACCTATTAATCCTTCTGGAGGTGAAAATTTGTGTAATAACAATAATTTGCTAGTAAGTAATTTGAGTAGGAACACAGAGTTTCTCAGGAGTCTATGGTCTGAATGACTTTAAATATTATTTAATCCCAGTACCAGGAACAAAGGTTAATGATTAGCATTTTCTTACTCTGTTGAAGTCTGAAGTGTCTGAGGATAAGCCAGAGAATTGGTGGTGCATGCACTTCACAGACTCAGTGTTTTGTCTCAAGGTGATTCATACGGTGCCTGAGACACTTCATATCCAGGAGGTGATATAGAACTAAAGTCTGGCATGCATGAGCAGCATCTTTGGGTATGCACTAAAGTGATCAGTTGCTCTGGGCAGTCCTTGCAGTTGGGCTTCTCAGTGTAGCAGACTTCTAAAGCATGGTTTGGCAAGTAATCTGAATTAAACTTTTCACCCCTGGCTGCTAATGATTTTTCAATCTAAATTCCTAATGTAAGGCATCCCACTAGAGTGGGATTTTTTCTCTAACTTGAGGCATCTGGAGTGTTGGCATCAACTTCTGCAGTGAGTTTCCAACGTCCATTTATAGTTTATCAGAAGACATTGGCACTCCTAATTACTATTTGCTTGGCTTGTTCCAGACATCAGCATTTGGATTAGATGATTAAGTTTTCAAAATGCCTTTGTCTTTCCATGGGCTACCACAGAAGTCAAGTGTAGGTATCTCAGAAGAAGACATCTGCATTTGGTCACAGGAAGCTCAGCCCAGATGCCTTTTTCAGTAATGCCTTTTTATACTCAAAACATCCACTCTCAGGTGGGATTGGGCATTGAGTGTCAGGACTCCCTGAATTTCTGGCACATGTCCATCAAATTGTATCTGGTGATGTTGGCCTCCTAATGTGTCTTGATATTTCCTGGGGATTTACTGCTTGAGTTTTCACCAGGAAAAGTTTTGATGAAGTAATAGATCCTACCACTTAATATTGTGAGAAAAATTGAAGTGGCAAAATGATACTTTTTTCTTCTCATCCATTTCATCATTTGAACTTTACAATTTCATTGACATAATGTTTTCTGTACTGATTGCTGTGATAAAAATGCCAGATCTGTCTCACACAAATTGCCAGATTAAGATGACTCAGCCTTGACCAAATGGATAAAAAGTGAAAGAAAATTTCATAGAAGTCATTTGACAAGTGGATTTTTTCAAAAAATTATATCTGACACAAAGCTCTTATTTTTTATTTCACATAACACATATTGCTTTCAACATAGTCAAACCATTGTTTCATCTAAATGTTCATTTTTATGCTCTTCAGAATTTAGCTCATATTTGACACATGAACAGAGTTTCTTGATATCAAGCAGATTTGATCACTGATTAGAACACAGCACAATATATTTTTAACTCTTAAGGGCAGTTAGATGCCATTTCTGTATAGATGATTATCCTGGTTAATCTGTAGACTCAGCGGATCTTATTGCTGCTAAATCACATCCATTTATAAGTTAGTAATTGGTTCCAAAGACAAAAAAAATCCAAGAAAACTAAATACAAAAAAAAAAGCTGCTGCATTTTCTCTTGCATATTTTCTACGTACTTTATGTCATGCAAGCCACTTTAACGAGAAAGACACTTCTCCTTTGTTAAAGTGTTTTGAAGCCTTAGTGTTGTGCTCTTGTGTTTCTAGCTGCTGGCTTATTTGTGAACCTAATTTCTGACAAAGCTGATCAGAGATGTGTCCTGTTTTTCCACAAAGTTTTTCCTCACTTATAATTGTAGCTTCACTCTCTGGGGTACTCAGCTCTGCAGAACTAAAGCACTCCGCAGGTCTGACCAAGAGCTGACCGTGGTGATGTCCTGCCTCCACCCCCTGGGTAGCTGGTGGTAACAAACCCACTATTCTGCCTCATCACGGCTGTCTAAGCATCACACAAATGCTCTTTCTTCTGGTCATGACTTCACTGACTCACTGTAGGAAGAAACAAAACAAGAGTTTTTTAGACCCGTATCATTCCCTCCAATCAAATTTTTCGTATGATGAACTAATATAAGCTTGAATAATCCCTTTCTAAATATTGTGTCCAGCTGAGGTTATAATATTTATTCTGCTTGCCACTGGTGACAGCTGAGCACACAAACATTTGTGAAGTTGTGTTTTTTCAGTGTATAAGACACAGTAATATATAATTGCAGGAGGTGGCAAAATAAAGTATGCAAACATACTGGAAGTTGCATGCCAAAGAGCTCATTATATGTACTCTTATTAGAAATATGGCTTTAATATAGTTAATAATGCTTCAGCTATGAAATCTGAATACTTTGAAAAACAGCCTGTTTTTCCAAGGAAAACAGGTATTGAGAAAAAGCAATAAAGTCTATGTTATTTCTACATTTAGGTGTGTAAATAAGCCTGCAATGTAAGCTGGACCTCCACACTGATTCAGGTTCAAACTAGGACTTCTTTTGCATCTGCAGACTCTTTTCCAATAATAGAGTTACAAAGGTGGTTCTTCATGTACTGCTGGAATGTGTTACGTGATTAAAAGAAGAGAGGATGCTGTGTATTTTGCCAGCTGTTTAAAGTTTTTTCAGCAAGAAAATGAACCAGTGCCAGAAAGAACAGCAAGCAAAGAACAATTAGTAAGCTATGGGTTAAGGAGTTTTTATTTCACCTTGGTGTGTGTTTTCCTTTTCCAGCCCACATTTCCAGTGGGTCCCACAATAGGAACGAACACGGCTATTAGCTTTGCTCCTTACCTAACGCCAGTAACACCAGGAGTTGGCTTAGTCCCGACTGAGATCCTGCCCACGCCGCCTGTCATTGTTCCTGGAAGTCCACCGGTTTCAGTCCCCAGTTCAACTGCTACCCAGAAACTCCTCAGGACTGATAAACTGGAGGTACTGTGGACACCACTGTGACTAGAAGCACAATCTGTGTTAGGCTGTGTGAGAGATCTTGGAGGGTATGACTGTTGTTTTAGAAGCGAAGCTTAAATTTAGTTGCTACAGATAAAAAACTTGTAACAAGGCAGGATTTCTGCACTTGCAGCCAGTGATAATTAAACACTGTTATTTTTAAGATAGTTTTTGCTTGTATTTAATACACAGACATCAACATGAGTTTTCTTTTTTTGTAAAGTTCATCATCTCAAAAAACCTGAGGTATATGCGTAAAGACATCCCTTGATGAAATGATGATCTAACAAGCACATTTTTTATTTCAGTAATAATTGTCTCGGTTTTTCTGCGCTGATAATAAGGGAGTTTATGGCTTTATGGATTGGTATTAGGGGAATGGTGTAGCCCTTCAGCCCTGAGCTGCCAATGGAGATGTGGAATATTATTAACCCTGCGGCAGTCTGAAGGAACAATCCCCCAGCTATGTGCAGAGCCTCCCAGCAGTTGCTGGATCACTGCTTGGCTGGACTCAGTGGAATCTGTGATCCGAGTACACAAGGAGGCCAAATGGCTCTTGCAGAAATGAATGTCCTTTCCCAAAAGCCTAAGCACCAGTGTCTTGAGCACATTTCTTCTTAGGAAAATAAGTGTGTTCATTCTGCCCATTTTTGAAAATTATTTTTAAGTAGGCTCTCAGTTTTGTTTGTAGACTCCATAAAAAATGCGTTGCGTCTGATGTGTATTTTCCCTGGGTTTCAGCAAGAGGAACTCCTTCCCTACCAGCCCACCTGCAAGAATACAAAGTGTAGTCAGAAAGAGACAAAATATTTTGTGATTCCCAGCTAGTTTTGCAGAAGCAGTTACGTAAGTATCCTTCCCAGCTGCTTTTTTAGCAGGAAAAAATAAAGGGCATTTGGGAATGCTTCTGTTATTTAACCACAGTACCAGAGAGCTACCTAAGGAGCCAACAACATAAGGATAAAATAGGTGCATTCCCCTCACCCACCAAAAGATGCAGGGTTTATTAAACTGAAGTTGCTGTAAAGCTTGAACTAGCAGGGGAAGGGAGCAGGCTGTCTTTTGGGGGCGTGGGAGCCTCCCTGCCCTTGCAGGCTGCAGCGAGCTGTGCCCTGCAACGTGTGTTGTTTTGCGCGTAGGTGTGCAGGGAGTTCCAGCGGGGGAACTGTGCGCGTGGAGAGACTGATTGCCGCTTTGCGCATCCGGCAGACAGCACAATGATTGACACAAATGACAACACCGTAACCGTGTGTATGGATTACATAAAAGGTCGTTGCATGAGGGAGAAATGCAAGTATTTTCACCCTCCTGCACATTTGCAGGCCAAAATCAAAGCGGCGCAACACCAAGCCAACCAGGCTGCAGTGGCAGCCCAGGCAGCTGCGGCAGCTGCGACTGTGATGGTAAGTGCTGGCATGTATGGCTGCCTTTTTCTGATGCCTATTTTGCTGCAATTTAATGCTGTTTGCTTATACTTTCTTTTCTCTTTTGCCTCTTTTTTTAAAATTTTTTTTTTGGTGAAAGATAAGAATTTATAAAATTATTACTATTGCTTGATGGGAGGAAGCACTTTCTTTTCTTTATGCCCTTGTTTTAATGCTGTATTTCTATTCAAGACAGTGAAGCAAATGACACTCTATACCACTTCTGTTCTCTGCCTTAATTATATGTAAATTTGCCCCTCATATTTCCAAACAGAAACAAAACTGATAAGCTTCAGTGTTCCCAGGAAAACAGGGACACATATGCTGTTTTAGCTCTTTGATGGCAGATATACATGTGGAAATTTGGAAAAAAAGCAAAGAGGGAGTGTTTGCTTCAGAGATCAGTAGTAGAACAGAAACCTCTATTGAAATCAGCACAGTCTGCCTTAGAAACGAGACAACCATCCAGCCACCTTGGTCTCACTGTGCTGGCAGTGTAGGAAAACCAGGGCACTCATCTGATGTACCATTAGTGCCTGCCTGAGGATGAGAAAGAACTGCCCTCTGTGGATCTACATCTATCCCCAATGACTAAAAAGTGTTGCCTGTATATGTTTGAACTTTGGTTAGACACATTTCATGCCTAGAGACTTCTTGCCTCTCCTGCCATTATGGGCCAGTTACTTGAATCATGAGGTTTTAAAGTAGTAAACTGTAATAGGAATCATTAGGAAAGAAACATTGTGGCTACAGTCAGAAGAAAAGAGAGTGAGTGATCATAAATCTGATTTATTTTCAGATATATTAACCTCTTACTTAAAACTCTTCAGACAAGACAGCCCACCCCTTCACCAGGATTGGATTCCTCTTACAGTTGCTACCAGGAAAGTTGATGAGTTTGCAGCAGTATTAATGAAGTTAAATAAATTGAACATCCAGGATCTGACTTGAGACACAAAACTGCTGGCAGCAAATCAAAGAGTCATTGTCCTCATTGCTGTCAGTGGACGAATAATTAAGCAGATGTGGTTTGTGGACTTGTGGGCAGTGCATACAATAGTTATAGACAATACAGTTATTCTCTGGTTTAAAGGCCTACAAGAAACACAATACAGTACAGTACATAACTACCCCAAGCTATTGTATTTAACACATTAGAAAATACCAGACTTTTCTGAGGGACAAAGGGTAAGTTATGCAAGAAAGTAAACCATAATACAGAAGAATATTTCTTAAGTTTCAATATTCTTTCTCTAATAGCATCACAGCCTTTGTTTCAAATTGGATGATTTTTAGTTAAAGTTTCCCGTGCTTGCAGAAATTGAATGCCATCTGGAAATTAAAGCAGAGAAGATTGGGTTTTTATTCTGATTAGCTTCTGTTGTGCAATATTTATTGTTCATTTATAGAATGTAATATTTCTAGGCACTATACTAAATAAGAAAGGAGAGAGATGAGTGGATTAATTTTTTTTGCGCTTTGGTAATGGTTGCAGATATATATCCTGGGGTTTTAAATAAGGCTTAATTAGAGTTGCATTAGCCTCAAAGCAAGATGAAGCATCTTTGGAAACACAGAATTGAAATGTTATCAGTCTAATATCACAGGAGAAGGCAACAGGGACCTGTAATTCAGGGTAACATTTTGCAGAGAAACATGTACAAAATATTCTAGCCTGTTTCCCCTGCTTAAGCAGAGGAGCTAGACGAGATTGCCCAGGATGTGCCTGTTTGGTTTACTAATGTCTCTAAGGATGGAAACTCCATAACTTGAAAGCCTGTTTAATACTTCCAGTAAAAAGAAATGGTTTTGTTTTTTTTAATCTTATATTTAAATGGAATTTCTTTTATTTAAATTAGTTTCCATTGCCTCTTCTCCTGTCCCTGGGCACCACTGGCTCCATCTTTACCCTGGAATCAGGTATTTGTATACACTGTTGAGATTCCCCTGTATATTCACCAGGCTGAATCCTGTCCCTTGATCATTTTTCTGGTCCTTTATGGGAGTGTTTCCTAGTACACCTGTGTCTTTCTTGTACTGGGGTGCCCAGACCTGGACAGAGGGCTCCATATGTGGCCTCACCAGGGCTGAGTGGAGGGGAAGAATCACCTCCCTCCACCTGTTGGTGATACTCTTCCCAATGTAGCCCAGAATTCCATTAGCTGCCTTTGCTTTTGAGGACACATTGCTGGCTTGGTGTCCACCAAAGATCTTGAGGGTCTTTTCTGCCAAGCCTTTGTGGCCTCCAGCATGTACTGGTGCCTCGTGATGTTCCTCCCCAGGTACAGGTCTTGATATTTGTCTTTGTTGGACTTTGTGAAGTTCCTCTGTGCCCATTTCTCCAGACTTTCTAGGCCCTCTGAGCAGCAGCAAGTCTATCTTGTGTATCAACCACTCCTCCAAGTTTCACACCACTGGTGACTGGCCTCCAGCTGGGCTCTGTGTTGCTGGTCACATCCCTTTGAGCCTGGCATGTGAGACAATTGTCGGTCTCCCTCCCTGTTTCTCATTTAGCCCATGATAAATAAACCTGTCTGTGAGGATGAAATGGTGTTGAAATCCTTTCTGAGATCAAGAGAAACAACATCCCTTGCTCTCCCTTCACCACCCTGACATCATCATAGAAGGATGTCAGGCTGGTTAAGCCCATTTCCCTGTCATAAATCTATGGTGACTGCTTCCCATCATTGTCTTGGCTTTCACATGTTTGCAGATGGTTTTCAGGAGGATTTGCTCAATTGCTTTCCCAAGGACCTAGGTTAGGCTGACCAACCTCCCAGTCCTCAGACCTCCCTTCCTGCCCTTTTTGAAGATAGGAGTGTCATTTACTTTCTTGCAATCTTTGGGAATTTCCCTCAGTCACAGGAACCTTTCAAAGATAAGTGAGAGTAACCTTGCAGTGACATTGGCTACCTCCCTCAGCACCCAGGGTGCATTCTGTTAGTTCCTATGGCTCTGTGTGCATACAGCTTGTTTAAATGTTCCCTAACCTGATCCTCCTCCCCCAAGGGAAAATCTTTTTCACTTCAGACTTTCCCACTGGTCTCCCACTGGCTTGAAAGGCAGTCATGCCAGTAAAGACTGAGATGGAAATGATTTTCCTAACCTCAGCCTTCTCCATGCCCTGTCACCAGGTTACCTGCCCCACTGAGCAGTGGAAACACATTTTCTCTAGTCTTTCTTTTGTTGCTCAGAAGCCCTTCTGGTTGTCTTTCACATCCCTTGCCAGATTCAGCTCCAGGTGATCTTTGACTCTCCTAACATATCCCTGCATGTTCAGGCTGTGTCCCTGTTCCTCCTGAGCCATCTGTCCCTACTCCCACCTCTTGTGGGCTTTCCTTCTTTCATTTGAGTTCAATCAGGAGTTCCTGGCCTCATGGAGGCCCCTGCTGTGTGGATCTTGTTTGTATTCCAGGAGACATTATAGCATACCAATGTGCTGTATGGCAGGCAAATACTATGCCTTGGAAGTTTGATCATTTTCAATATTATCCTTATTTCCTTTTTGCATCCTCTTCCTCTCCATCCGGTATTGATTAGTTGGTTGTTAGTTATGTAGATCAAATGTTGAGAAGGAGATAATCTGATGGAACAGAAAGAAGCAAAGGAGGTGTTACTATCATGATAAAATAAAAGAAAATATTAATGTAGGAGAGCAAAATGAGCAGTTTGAAAGCTTGAAAAGAATGGGAGACTACATGGAAGCAAGGTTGATGAGTATGTTTAGAGCAGATCAAGCCTTTGGGTTGGGAAGACTAAGACTGAACTTGCTGGGTAATATGAGGGGAAATCCAGAAGAAAGCTTCAGAGTAGGGAGGTGATGTTAGGAAGAAAATGGAGAAAAATTGGAGAAAGGCAATAATAAACAGAGAGATAATAAGTTAACAAGTGAGATTAGATAAGATCTGTATTTGGATAAGAAAGGTAATTAACTGAAACACTTTACTCTGGGTGAAGTTGATTTGAACTTGTGCACTTCATCATCGCATAGTGCTGAATTCAGTTGTACTGCGTCACCTCGGTGTGGATTTCCCTCTGTGGTGGAGGCAGAGCAGCTCTGAGGCTGTGCCCGGGCAGTGCAGTGATGTCCTCTGCAGTGGTACCTGCTCCGTGTCCTGCTTAGACAAAGTCTGTGCAGATCCCCACTTCAGACTAGGTGTTTCTTGGTGTGTCTGGGTCCTGGGCCCAGAGAGACGAGCAGATCTTGTAGATCAGGGTGTGTAATCCAGAAGAGTGCTAAAGAAGAGATGAGGAGGGCATTGACAAGATTCATGCTACATAGACAGGTACAAGGAATAAGTAAAATTTTGAGGACTGCCCTGCAGAATACCCTGTTGGCAGCTGATAAACTTATGACCACAAGGTATTTGCAGGCATTTTGTGCCTTGTCCTCTTCCTCCACCTCAACTTTTGTTCCCTATTTCCACATACTGATTTCAAGGTAGACAAAATCTGCATATTCTGAAAAGAGCTAAATATCGGCCTGTGCTTAAGAATCAAAAGTAAAAATTTCAATTTCTAAGTAAACTTCTCTTTCCTTTCTAAAGGTTTGTAAGAAGTATTTACACCATAAAACTTGAAAGTAATTTTTATATGAGGAATTTTTTTACAGAATGCTGTCATATCAGCCATAATTTTGAATTCACTATGAAAGAATACATAAATGTATATGCCTATGTACTATGCCTAAATACTTTCTTTTGAAAAATTAATAATGCTGGACTAGTATCATAACTCGTATGTTAATGTTAGCATATGAACTGGGAGCCCAGTTTTACTCCCTGCTCCTGAAGCTAGTACTGAAGGTTGTAGCAAAATTTAGAAAGTATGTTTTCAATTCTGAAAGACTTTTTTCCCTCTCAATGTAATGTGGTAAGTTACAAGATTAAAAAAATCTACAAAAATGACCCAGCTGTAGGAGCAAAGAAAAGGAATTAATGATAAGTTAGTGTAACTAGACATCCTCTGCACTGTGTTTTGTATTGGTGAATAAGAACCACTCTCATTTTGACCATTGAATGTTTCTCTTCTCTAAATTAAAAGACAATCAATCACCTTGATATTAACAGTATTTGTAATGCACTATAACTTTCACTAGTGTTTTGTATTTGAAAATGTAACCTCCAAAATCAATTTTCCCACTTCAAAATGTGACCGAACTGACTTATCAGGAATTCCAATAGGTGTATCCTTAAAACTTTCTGCATCTCTGTGAAGTGTTTATATGATGCTTAATAGTGTCTGCAAGCTGCTGTTTTACTCAACTTTCCTGAATTTCAAACATCTATATTTTACTCTCTTATATGCTTTTAACTAAGGTATAGTAGATGCATTTTTGCTTCGGTACTAATTCAAAATGTAATATTCATTTCTTTAGAAGACATTTTTGTTGTTGTGCATGCCTAGTGTTTTGTATGTTGTATATTGCATTCAGAATATTTTTTTCCTTCTCACCTATCCACAAATGCAATGCCGTTCCCATGACGCACCTCTGCTTGCTGTTTACCTGTATGTTAATTCGCTTGACTCCCATTGGCCCACTGCCATCATGTGCTCGCTGCCTGTTATTAAAAGACTCAGTCGACTGCCAAAGCAATGAAGCGACCTCTCGAAGCAACTGTAGACCTGGTACTTTGACCTTTCACCTTTTGCTTTGCATGTAGCTTTTTTTAATTTTATTTCGGTTTATTATAATTTTTTTTTTTTTTTTTTTTTTTCCTTCAGAGAAGCAACTAATGAAATTTGTATCGCTTTAGTTTTCAAACATCAACCGGAAATGATTTCACATACTCATTAATTTACCGGAAGCTCTATTTATCCATTTCATTCTCATACGTAATAGACCGCAGACGATTTAGTTTGGTTCCTAACACAGTTTCATCTTTTTTAAATCTCTCATGAAAAGTTGAATTGAGATAAAACTGCTTTTGTAATTGAAAATGCATAACGTAATCCATTAATCTGTATAATAATAGGAAACAATATTTAAATTTAAAAATAAAAGAAAATACTTGGCAATGAAACACAAGTGGTTTTTTCTCCCTGTAATATTTGAAAACCTACTTAAAGGCAATGCCATTTTTGTTGCTTTAAAGCAAACGTTTCTTTTCAGTAGTTGTGCTGCTGCAGTTCTAGGTGAATAGTACCATGCTTTTGCTACCAATAACAAAATTTCACTCATTTTACATTGCTGTGCTTTGAGTTAATATGCATGGCGAGGCATCCTTAGCCGCTTTAAAAATTACTAAGTTTTTATATTTATGTATATGTTACGGACAAGGTCTTAAAAATGGAACCATTTTAACTAACTTTCTTATTTACAGGCCTTTCCTCCTGGTGTTCTTCACCCTTTACCAAAGAGACAAGCACTTGAAAAAAGCAATGGTGCCAGTGCCGTTTTCAATCCCAGTGTCTTGCACTATCAACAGGCTCTTGCCAATGCTCAGTTGCAGCAACATGCAGCGTTTATCCCGACAGGTATGTTGTATCCACATTGAAGCAGTTTAGTGTCCCTGAGGTAGCCTCTGTGTCAGGCACTTGCACTTGACAGAAGGTTTTGTTATGCTCCCTTCCCCACTTGAGGTGAAGCCTGCACAGATGATTGCACATTATTTTAATTCCTCTTGCAAAGGACAAGAATTCAAGCAGAAATTTCAACATGCTGTTAAGGTGCTTTTTTGCTCATTCATAGCCTTGCTCATCCTTCTCCGGAGTTTGCCCCTTTTTGCCTACTGTAAATTGGCTGGATTTTGACTCGTATCTGTTCCCACTAACAAAACTGCTGGGAAAAACATCGTGCTTCAGAGATGCCACAGCATCCTCCTGCTCCCTCAGCTGCTGTCTCGCAGCCGTGGGGATTTCCCCAGCCCCACACGAGCACCCTGAGAAGGGGAACACCAGCCATAAACTTCCAGTCAATACCTGCGTGGAAGCACAGGCAAACAACATCACTCCCCACAACTGCACTTAAGGGTTTTCAGGCATCAGATGCATTTTCATGGTTTTGGAGCACCACCAGAACTTTTCCTAGCATTTGTGGCTCATAGCTGGGGTTGTAATTCTTGATAGAGATGATCTGAAGATGAGTGAATGTAATTTGCATTTCAGTGCTCGGAGCTCTGTGAAAATCAGAGCATTCAGAGATGGCTTGACCTGCACCCTGGCTGGTAGCAGGGCAAGAGAAGGGGTGTGCTGGGTGCTCGTGCAAGCAGTTACAACACAACCCTCTAAATTGTGTCAGTCGCCCCCACTCCAACTTCCCAAAGGAGAATTTCCCTCCTAAGGAATTCTGTGATTTCATTTGTAATTAACAAATTACATGTTTTAGTGTCAGGGTGTTCTCGAGTGTGAACTTCAGAATAGTTTAAAACTATGTGTTTGCAAATGTGCTTGACTTTTCAGCAATGTTATTTTAGTTTATAGAAATAATGTCTGTTAAACAAGGAATGAAAGGCAACACATGATGATTTCCCAATCTATCAGCATTCCCGTATGTTTTTAAAGATAAAAAACAAACACAGATGGCTTTGACTTTATGGAATTTTTCTATAAGGCCTCAGTAACAACCTTGGAGCCTGCCCCCATATTTGTAATAGTAAGTAAAAGCATAGCCTTATTTTTAGCACATTGGTGCACCAGAATATGTGTGGCAGAAAACACACTGACATTTCTGGGAGTGTTTGAAAAAAAATAAATAAATGGTGAGACCGCCTATTTGGACATGAATGGAAGACTGCCCTGTGCTTGAAGAACATACAGAAATGTCCACAAATTTATTTTACATTGAAACTATGAGAATTTGTAGTGTGATAGGTATTTTTCCTTCCTAGTCACTCCCCTTCCGGGCTTATTGCTCTTATTTGCAATTGACAAGGACTTGAAATTAACTATAGAAGATACAGTAGTTTAAACCATTTTCAGAGAGAAACCATATGGATATTTTCCAGACTTTTGGAATGTTCATGCTTCCTTAAGTAGCTCATTTTTTGTACTTTTTATTGTCCATCCCTCTTTCCAGCTAACTTTTGTAATTCTAGTTTTAGCTGACCAGTTTGTGGTGGTAGGAAGGGTAGATCTTGAAACCAACCATAAGGGCCAGGTTGTTGTCAAGTCCCAGCAAAGTGCATGAAAAGAAAGAAGAAACAGTGTATAAAATACCAGATGGAGTCCAAGCCACAGAGTAGAAAACCTTTCTTAAAGTGATGACAATCCTGCTCTTTTCGAACACCATCAGCTCCAAGGAAGGATATTAAAGAGTGGAGTGGGGTATGGGAGGAGTTCAGGAAAGAGAACACCCTCTATAAGAATGGATGTCATGAGCTTTCCATTAAAGATGATACATCTGATATTCCCACATTTCCTGGGAAGGTTGGATTTGGTGGGTGTAAGGACTGTCATGCAACCCACATCTGAGGAGCAATGCATGACATTATCTGTTGGATTTTAAATGATTATGTGATATTTTCTAAACTGGTATAATTTTCAAATGTGTTCCTTGTGTGTGTGCGTGTATGTTAAATTTTAAAGACAAGTTTTGCTGCTGGAATATATATAAAACTTAATTGTTTTATATAACTTCTCTGCTTTATTAACCACTGGCTCCCCTAATAAAAAGTGTGGGGCTTGACTTAGCATGGCTTACCTCCGAAGTTCTGCACTTTGTTTGTTTTACATCAGTTTGATTGCTTTGTCACCTTCTCCTTATTGTTCGGTGAACGATCTTAAAAACAGCAGATCTTTTCTCTCTTCCCATTGCTGTTTGTTAGTGTTTCTATAGCCTCTAGAGGAGGAAGTTTGTGTATTCTCTGGGGACTGTTCTTGGGTAAGGTCATTCATAGTCACACGAGTCCGTATGGGGCTGCAGTAGTAATTCAGCAGGAATACAGGAAGCATATTCGACTCTGTGTCAAATATGCACAACCTCGCACCGGTCTCCTTACCTGCTTGCCTTCACCAGCTTGCTGTATGCACTGTGCTGGAAATAGGCTGATCTCTTTCTTGCATTTGGCCTTTCCAGAAAGGTTAAAGGTGGACTAGGCACCAAAAGTAAACTGCATGGCAGGTGAGCAGTCATCCTGCAGCATCTCTGAGGTGCACCGGGAGCCTTCTGCTGCAATGTTCCACGCTTTGAGGTGTTTAGCTTGGGACTTGTCAAAGTACTGTTTTCTTTGTGTGAAGAATGGGTAGGGTAACATCAAGCACAAATTTGGCAAAACCCCTGCAGTAGGATATTGTCTTAATTCCACTTTCTTTTCCTGCCACATGTCAAAAAATTGGTGAATGTTGATTGCACAACATTGAGCTGTCTGAATTATGCAATGAGCTCTAAAAGTCCCAAATACTGTGGTCTTGAACCACAGATGTTTTTATAAACAAAAAACTGTTGCTGCAAAAGCACTAAGTGAAAGGATAACATCAATAAGTAAAAAAGTTTATGAAGTATCTTGAATATGTACAGAAACTTGCCAAAACCCACACAGTATATGCAGAAGTTTAGTAAGAGCACAATCACCTCTTTGTGTTTAAGCAAAACTGTGAATGACCTTACAGTTTCATTTAACTAACTTACTTCTCTGTGGTTATGCTTGAATCTCACTTTGAATGTTAACTCTAAACAGCTAACCTGTTTCTTCCCTTTATCCACTTTTTTCACCTATCATTGCATGACACGCAGGGTCAGTTTTGTGCATGACACCCGCTACCAGTATTGGTAGGTTCCAAATTTCTTTATTGATCTCTTTTTTTTATACCGTATATGATGTATATTAACTTGTTTCAAAAATTCTAGGCGAGATTTAGCCACTGACTAGAATTAAAAGTTTGCTTGTCCTTCTGGTTGACTTTGCAGAGTGTTTAGATTTGTAGATGAAAGCTGCAGTTTAGACATGATATCACCTGCTATAACAACTACACTGCAAAAGCATAATACCATGAATTCCAGTCTGCTTTTCAGTTTTCAAAGTTTTATTTCTCTTTATATTTTATATTGTCTAGTACTATAAAATCATAAAATACTGGAAAAAACCAGCAAATTTCATCAGTGTTTTAAAGTTTCATAGTGGTGTGCCTATTTCTCCTTTGCTGTGTGTTAGAAAGTTTTATCAGCGTTTCCCAGAAATGCCTACTTTGATGCACAGAGTTTCTGTTGAAACTTGTGATCTGAATCTCACTCCTTCTTTAAATATATTTGCAACCTGAAATTAACATTTTGGGCATGCAAAGTGGAAGTCCAACGCCACAGCCACCGAGACAGGAAAGTAATCTTTGCCCTATCCAGCGATTTTATTTCTGGGTTTTGGGCCTACTCACATAAACAGTTAAAATATCAAGTCTTTAAAGCATCAAATTAATAATTCTCCTGTGAAGATGCTGATTAAAATTCATTCTTAAAATGAGCAAAAGCAGTGTCTTTCACAAAATTGATCTTGCTTTTTTAGATCAAACAAAGTAGTATATGTATCAGGCTAATTATTATCATCCCTCTCCTGATTTTTGCCTCAAGCAGATGGTAATTTAACTCTGATAAAGTCGAACAGTTATGCAGTGCTAGTAGGAAAAAAACGCCTAAATTGGATTATAAAGAAAGACGGCGAGTATCTAGCTTACTTCAAAATGAAGATACATGAAAATAATTCATTTTTAATTGTGTTTAAAAATTAAGATGAACATTTAACAGTTTTCTTCCCAGTACAAACCACTGGGGTTTTTTTAGTAGGATTTTATTTTGAAGTGCATTATAGCTGTACTGAGGGAAAACAAATTACACATGTAACAATCCACAGGTAATGGGCTATTTTGGTAAAGGTCTCATTTGCAGAAGTAATCTTCTTCTTAGAGACAGCACTTGCATTTTCAGTGGTCCTCATTCTTTTTTTTCTGGGAATCGCCGATTGTGTTGACAACCTTCCTTTAATTGTACTTGTAATAAGCTATTTTCCCTTTTTTTTTATTTCTCCGCCACGCTTTCTCGCTTTGCACTGTGATTGCATGCCATCTGCCGGTTTAACCCATGACGATGGCTTGCCGCTCTTGATATTCACCATGCCAAAAATACCACTTCTCTTACCATAATGCTGCACCCTCCTGTTCATTGCTTCCATGGTTCCCCTCCTGAAAGTACCCATGATGCACAACGCTACGGCCGCCACTGTCTCTGCAGCAACAACTCCTGCAACAAGTGTTCCCTTCGCCGCAACAGCCACAGCAAATCAGGTTTGCTCCTTTTAAAGCTTTCTTTCACAAGATCCTGAACTCTAAATGAGTGCTGAGATTTTTATTTTATTTTTTTTAAACAAAAAAAATTCTCACAGAGAATTTTTTTTTATTTCTGTGTTTACCCCATCAAATTTTACTTTTATTTTTAAGTCGTTTATAGCAAGTGTTTGTGGGACAGGTTGCACTTATTTAGAGTTAACATTTGTTGCAAATAATGATGTAGCTGTGTTTTGTGTTGCGATGTTTGTACCTAATTATTGTGTAATTAACCCAGCTGGAGTTAGAATCACCGTAGCACTGGACTACTTACAAAAGTCTATTATTAACTCCTAAGTTCAAACGGAAGATCATCACAGGTTTCAAACATTCAGGTGTGTTAATGTAGCTATCTCCATGAGGTGTGGAAGTGACTAATTTGTAAGCATGGAAGCTGTCAAAAAATCACAAGCAGGGCAAGGCAGCTGGGAAAAAATTTGAATGTTTTGTGTAAATACTAGTGATCAAAACAGCAATGAACATATTTATGACTATGCCTGCTTTATATTTGAAAGTGTGTCTTTAACCTGGGAATTACATTTCCCTAAGGAAGAATGCTGGTAAAAAGAATCCCAAGGATTATTGTCTGAGGTAGGCTAGGAAAGACAATACTTGCTCCTCTTCTTCTGCAGTTTACGTTAATGGCAGTTTTCATTTTGGCTGGGTCCTGTAGGACCTAACTCCCAGGGAAGACATATCTATTGCAGCCCTGGGTGTGTACCTTTGGCTCCTCTGTTGGAGTGGTTCCCACCCTGATGTGCCAAGAGAGGAGTTTGCACAGCTGTTGGATCACTCTGGCTTTTCCCATGCTCTGGGACCATGCTCAGGCACTTCCACCTGAGATGTGTTCCCCTCAGGTTCTGAGAGGTCAGATGGAAAAGCAAACAAGCAGATTTGCTCAGAAGAAACCAAAGGGCTATGTCCCCATCATCTTTCCTTGTGTTGCTCCTGGACAGATTGACAAGCTGTCACAGACCCAGTAGAAATGCTGTCCTGTTGGTTCCTTCCCCTCCACTTACCAAGGGCTTAGAAAGAAATATGTGAAAATGTTTTGCTTAATAATGATATACTAACAGGTTTATTTTTTTTACTGGCATTCCCAAAACTATTGAGGTATCTCATGGAAAAATACAACTTGCTGCAAGAGTTTATTTTTAATAATTTAGGAAAAATATACTACCTCTGAAATACATCCTACTTTCTTAAAGAAATACAAACCAGTCCATTTTCTTTGGTTTTTTTTAAGGTTCGTTTGCCAACATTGAGATGTTTTTGCTTCTAGCATTTTCATCAAAAGAAAATTGTTGTTTTGTGCTTACTTTTCTGAGAGCTAGCTTGTGAAAAATGCTGGGGTTAAGGATGAAAGTGCAGCAGGCAAAATGTGCATTACACAGTTCTTCCCAGAACAGTATCTACAGCAGAAAATTGTTTGGTGGTATCCAGTGTAGTTTTATGATCTCAAAGTGGTGACAGAGGGACTTGAAGATGCTAAGGGGCTAAGAGAAAATGGGATGGTTTGGGGAGAGGTTGAGCCAGGGACCCTCTCCAGCCCAGGAGTGCAGCTGGGGCAGCTCCACCACCTGCACCCCTGAGTGCCAGAGGAGCTGACTGGGGCTGAGGGTAGAATAAATACATGGGTGCCTACAAAAGGACCAGTAGGCAGGTGGGAACACTTTCATGCAAGTAACTAGTGCCCCTGAGAAGACAAAGGTGTGCCTTAATGCTCTTCCTCATCCATCAGGATGGCAAGCAGAGCCCCTTCTTTCCCAGTGCAGATTTTGTTTGCATTGGAGGATTATAGCATTTTAAATTTAACAGGAATTGTAGAAAGTGTCTGTATTTATCTAGTTGCATATGTGTGTGTGTGTGTGTATACATACAATTCCATGCTGAAATTAATGCATGGTTTAACAGGAGGATGGGTTTTCACTTGTTTAAATTTCAGCCATTTGTAAGTCTGGCATCTAGATCATCTGCTTTTCTGGAAGTCTGTGTTAGGACAGGGAAAGTTGTCCCGGAGAGTCTTGTCTCTGTCCCTTGCCTGTAGAATGAGTGTAGGTGTGCTACCAAAGCTCTGCACCACTCCACATGGAGGAGAGTAGTCCCACCTCAGGAGCTTATTGGTTTCTGTAGCTTGTGCCATCACAGTCTTTTTTTCTCTCTCCTCTCTTTGTTTTAGTCATTTCAAGTCTTTAAAAGCTACTGTTAAAAAACCATGTATTTCAAAGTAGAGAAAGCAGTAGGATTTCACTCTTCTTTATAAGAGACAGAACTCCAAGTTTTCTGTTTATTTATAACATCCTAAGATTGGAGACAAAGCTACAATGCTGGGAAAGCCCCACAGTAACTCTGTGGCTCAAATTCTCAGTATTTCTTTAGCCTAAGAAACATAGCAGGAGCAGGATATTAACTTGGTAATTAGCATGACTTTGTTCATGGTCATGGCATTCTTTGTGTCCTGTTGTATGGGTTTAAACTCTCCTGAGTATTTCAGAAAAGAACTTTTTTATTCCCAACCAGATAAAATTTCCTTTTCTAGTCTGTACCACGCTGCTTTACATATCTGTGAGGTACAGTTCCCTCTTTCCAGTGTCTCTACCATGGTTTTTTTTACAACCTGCAGCCTTCAGCTTGTTCCATTTCATCTCCCAGAGCTTCTTCTCAATTCTGGGCATGAAAAGAAAGTTTCAGCAGGGCTTAATAACTTATCTTAATATCATTTGGTTTAGTATTCTGACCTGGGGAAAGATTGCAGGTCTTCCTGGGACTGAGTGTGATCATCCCAGTGTCTTTGAAGCACAAGTGGAAGGGAAAAGTCAACATCCCAAAAGTTATGGAGTCTCAGCTGATGGCTAATACAACATAGTAACTCTGTTGGGTCCAGTAAATTATTTAGTATGTGCTGTCAGTGTCTGTTTTGAAAAAATAAGTCACTGTGTCTCATGTCTTCTGTATATCCTTTCTTTCAGAAAATAACATGAGTAAGAACTCAAAATACACCTGCACTGGCACACACTGTCAGTGATGCTTGGCCAGCAGCTCTGGGCATTGTGTGTTCAATGTGTGGCACGAGGCACGTGAGAAGATTGTGTAGTCTTAAAGGCTGTTTGTATTGTGTACATCTGTGCAGGGTGACACCAGTTAAGAACATATGGAAAATTTGGCATCCCTTGCTTTTTCTGACTTACAAAAGTTAGGTTTTAAAAATAATTTTCTTGCAGTGTAGTTCAGAGGGGAAGAGAATTGCTTTGGTGCAATGCAATGCAAACAGGATGCTGCAAAATGCCCCACTTACTGCAGCTACCAGGCTGAGTACCTGGTGAGAGGGGATGGATGGGAGGGGACTTCAGCTTTCCAGTGAAAGCTAGCTGGAAAGGTACATGTCCAGGAGCATGACTGGTCAGAGGTAAAAGGCCCTTCCCCTTTTCCTTCTTCTGCTCTTCACAATTGCTCCAGCCA